CTATCTTCTTTATCTACTTATATATCTTAATAATATAAGGCTAAATAATTAGTAAGTAATTAATAAAATTTATTAAGTACTTAATAAGTACTTATCTTTTTACTTTTATTTAAAGGAAGAGCTAAAAGTAGATTATTTTTACTTACTTTCTTTTTAGAAAAGTATATCTTAATAGCTATTTTAGCTATAGATATAGCTACTACTTTTTTAGCTTTACTTTTAGTCTCCTTTTTAATAAAGAGATCTTTATACTACTTTAAGTAGTTAAGAAGTAGTTAATAAGTAGTTAAGAAATATTTTTATACTTTACTTATTAATAGCTATATTTACTTTTTTTTAAGAGACTTAACTACTAGAGCTAATATTTAACTCCTAATTCTTATATCTAAGAATATACTAATATAGATTATTAGTAGAGGAGAATATATACTAAATAGTTAATAAATAGTTAATAAGTATTTAAAAAGTACTTTAGAAGTACTTATAGTTTAATATAAGTATTTAGATATATAGTAGTAGACTTTATTATAATAGATTTTAATATAGTCCTTATTATCCTAAAAGTACTTTATAAGTACTTATTAAGTAATTAAAAAGTACTTATTTAAGCTTTTTACTAATATATCTTTTTAAACTTAAGAAGCTTAAGTTTCCTATCTCTTATATTCTTAATATATTACTTATATCACTTTTATTCTATTATATATATTAGTATTATTCCTTTTATACTTCTTAATTAGTTAATAAGTACTTATATTATCCTTAATAAGAGCTATAAGGAAAAGTAATCTAATTAGTTAATAAGTACTTATTAATAATTAAGATTTAGATAAGAAAAAAATATAAGTAGTTATTAAGTTATAAGATAGTAGTAAAAAAGTAATTAAGCTAAGGCGCCCTATAAACTATTTATACCCTAAATATAGCTTACTTACTCTTACTTAACTATTAGCATCTTAGCACAGGGCGCCTTGGCTTTTTTGAGGGGCGCCTGACCTGTAACCTGCCATGACAGCTGTCAGGCGAGTATCCCAACCGGATACTCATGGGACTATCAACAGCATATTTATAGAGAGACGTAAGATGTCCATACTTTATGAAATACTACAAAAAATACTGTATCACTATAACATAAAATCCTCAACTCAATCAATGGCCAAGTATAAAAAAACATACAACAGTAGGGATTCGCTGGTGGTCACCCACCCAACTACTAACCTACCGGCGTGTGGCTTGAGTACGGCTGAGCGGACGGGAAGCCCTATTTTCCACACCCTGTGGTCGTATGTACCATCAGTATAGGAATGGAGGGTTATATAGTGTGTCCTCTATTAATACTGGAGTCTACGCCTGTAAAGGTGAGGAGCTAGAGTCTTCCGTTCCTACTTTACCCCCCAATTGAGATGAGATGGAACATATTACAGCTAATGCAACATGCCTGTATGGCAAACTATAAGAATCGCTTAGTATTAATCTATAGCTAGCCACTACTTCATATAGTATTTACATCTTCTATAAAGAATAGCTACAAATACATTCTTCAATTATATTATCAGTAATAGTATGCTGTACGCATGAATGTCTGACAGGGCTGTCACCTGTTAATCAGTCTCAATTTACTATATAGGTACTAGTATCAGCGAAGTGAATCTCGACGGTCCTTATATATATACTGTCAGTATACAGAAATATAGTACAAGACATGAATGACCATACGGCGGAGTGTACAACGTAGTATACCAAGGCGCATGCTTATACAGACCAAGGACCGTTTATGGGCCTTGAACCTCACTAATTCATGCATTATTCACCCTTGGTCGGTTGAATAGGGTGATAAATTAGGCCTCCCCAGAGCGCGCCCTGTGGACTCTCTTCGTAGAATCAATGTCTTGAAGAGGACATACCAGAATCTACATGTGGAAGATCAGTAGCACTACTATTATTTTTATCTATATTACATACCTTAATACCAGTGTATATTAAGATCGTAGACTATTTAGAGAGATATTAGTACCTTATAACCAGAGAAAAGAATGGCAGAGAAATATATCTACAAGCCACTGCTGCCTGGGATCTTGATGTCAGGCGGATGTAATGAAAAAAGAAAAATTTGGGTTTTGGGTTTTCTGCTCTCACTTTGCTCTTTGGCCTAACATATCCGTCGCGCCTGCCAGCTCTGCTATCTTCATCCTCTGTCCGTCAGCACTCTCTTGCCTTTTCATCTGCTGCCAGATGCCAGTTCTCTCTACACATTTACCTCATCAGTTCTTTAACCCTCCCTTACGAGCACGAAAATGAGTCTTGAAGACGCCGACTTCCGCGAGCGGGTGGCTCTGATAGAGCAACTCCAGGAGCTCGTCAACACGAAGCGTGATTTTGCGGTTGAAATCGACCCCCAATGCTGGGCTCCGATGTGGTTCGCCGATCTCGAAGTTCTCCGTGAAGTCATCGCCTTGCCTCTACTAGCAGCGAATACCTGGGTTGAGACGCCCGGCTTTGATTTCGCCAAGTTCTGTGAGACACCATTTCGAGTCTGCCCTGGATCGCTCAGCGACTAATCATTCTAGGGACCAACCGTAAGCGCGTCAAAGGGATTCCTACCAGCGGAGCCTCAACCCCAGCCAAGCGCCGGATATCTGGAGAAGTCGTCGATGAGGAGAGTAGCCAGAAACGGTCCCAGGAGGCCATCACCAAGGTCAGTACTCTGGTTTGATCTCCAGTATAACTCTGCTTGACATGAACTGATTCATTGCCTGCCTAGTGCCGTGAACGGGATGAGCAATCGTGCGTTATCACCCACGCCGATGGACCCATCAGCGCCGCCCACATTTTCCCATATAGTCTTGGATCGAGCGCCACGGCTTTGGACAAACTCTGGGCTTCCCTCAGGCATTATTGGACCGAGGAGCGGGTGGACAAGTGGCGCCAGGCCCTCAGTGAAGACAACGGCACTGAAAAGTGCCAGAACCTTCTCTCACTCTCACCCTCGGCCCATAAATACTGGGATGAGTGCCTCTTCGCACTCAAGCCGCGCGCCCCCGCGCCAGATGGCAAGAGTATGGAGGTGGAGTTTCACTGGCTGCCCCTGCGTAAGAAGCAGGATGTCCCAAAGTGCCTGCTTCTGACTGAGCAGCCGGAGCTCCCAGCTGGCATGTCACATACTGCACAACGTGTAAAGCTCTTTGATTGTGAGACGGACAAGTCAATCAAATCTGGTGATATCATCACTCTTCGCACAGAGTCCCCGGAGACACACCCGCTACCCTCATATGAACTGCTAAATCTCCAGTGGTACCTACACCGCATCGCGGCTCTTCGTGGAGCGGCCGGCAACCAAGATGACGATGACGATGACGATGACGACGATGACGATGACGAGTTTGAATCAGAGGAGGAGGAGAACGAGGAGGAGCTGCATGGATCTTTGAGAGACCTGGGTTGGATGCTCCCGGCCACCATCTCGTCCCCCCAACACCGCCTTCGTGAGAACATTGCGCACGCGCGGCCTACAGCCACCAATGATACCGACGATAAACAGGCCTCAACTGAGCCGCAGACGTTTGAGGACCTTCCTATCCTCGGAGAACGTTCTGGAAACATCCGCCGCCAGCGGTGAGATATTGGACAGAGGTCTCTGGACTTTCTTCCGGTTCGCTTGTTTACTTTTCTACTCATCGACTGTGCTGCCGCTTCTGTTGTTTCTGTGACTTCCTATTGTCAACCGAAATTCCCTTTGCGATTCTAGAAATGTTTACTGTGGCCGAATCAACTGTCTCCTATCAATTATCAAGGCCTGACAAATATTAGATTATCACACCATGTCAGCCACAATGTAGTTAATCATTTACTAGGATAGATTTGTAAAGTATCGTGTCCACTGTTTTCCACTCTCTGTGGTAGCAGGTCCCAATTCCTGTAGACGAGGAATTACCTAGGAATGGATTATACTGGTATTGAAGGGGATGCCACTCTGAGATCTATGAGCATGAGCGGTCCGTAAATTATAGCGTAGAGTCGCCATATCTAGGAATATGAATTATGTTAGAGGTGCCTGCCTAGTTAGGCTTAGCGTCATCCTGCTTGCCTTTTCTCTCTCGCCTGCGCGCATCCTAAATAGCTTCACCACACATATATATATTTACTACACTTATCTCTTGCGCCTTCTCCAGCCCTTCCGTGCCAACAAATTATATTCTCGTCTTTATCCTGAGGGCGTGTAGCGATAGCATGTTGTCGGGCCCTGCCTAGTTGGGTTTAGCGTCCCGAGCAGTGACGCGACTTCCTTCATCGCGACTTCATCGCGAGCATCCTGAACGGCATGCCTCCTTCCGCTCCGCACTACTTACTCCCTACTGGGCCAACGCACCAGCTGGTGGGTACCCCAGAGAAACCGATCGCAAAGTCAAGCCTCGTTACTTCCCTGAAGTTGATCTAGAAGTAGTCAGGAAATACGTATGGTATCCCCAGCTTGATCGAATGGAGAACGAGGGCTAACATGTGTCTAAAATAGATTCAAGACGTTGAACCGATCGAACAAATATACAAGCCCAGGGATGACGAGCTAAAAGATGACGTGCCCATGAAGGATGAACATTCTGATATCACGGGCCAAATACTTCGCTCCAATGCCTTTGCATGGCGGAGCAGACAACTGGCAGGCATGGACTACTTTCTCCTGGACGACCATGTGTGAAATTTGGAACGCCATCGCAGCTGTTAGTAAGCTCCTTGACTGGGGTCAGAAAGTGCAACGGAAGCGAAGACAAGACCAGGATATATGGTACTCAAGATGGGCAAGCCTTGCACGAAGCGACGAGCCTAGCAAGGTCAAGCGAGAGATTATTCAACGATTTACGACGGTCAACGGTGACACCAGAGAGCGAATGCTCGCAGTCACCCGCTCTCTTCGAGAAACAAGATTTGCCTTCCACTCCCGAGACACGGCCTTGTTGTAAACTATCGTGGATAGACTTGTTGACATGAACAACCCGCGATGGCGCAACACAATGTAGGTCCAAAAAGGTTTGCTGTATATGGACGAGAATGCAAGGCGCATCTTGGACAAAAACATGCCCGGCAATGGGCTGTTTCCCGGGCAGATTAGTGATGGCACTTTTCCGCCTGAAGACAGTGCTTATGACTTTAACTATCTTTCACATGTTACCTTTGAGATGCCCTATCTCTGTTTTAACTTAGATATAATGCAGGGGCCGTCAATCAAAGAATTCAAAGTTAATACTATAGCATTAGATGGAACATCATTATTTAGCAACCACATTAATATGGAGAACATCATCAGCTTGAAGGATAAATAGCTTCATAATTATCCAGTATTATCTTTAATCCATATTACGTACCTTAATACCAGTATATATTAATAACCCAGACTATTTAGATAGAATATATTGCTAGTGATAAAGACTGAAATATCTTAGGAAATAGGTAGTGACTGCCATTAAAGACTTAGAATCCGGGAAGCCTGTTCCCACACTTGTGTTTGCATATAGGAGACGGAGAGGAAGAAAGGATAGATTTTCTGATCTTGATGTCTTAAATCCAATTCTATCTTTTATGGCCTGACTGTTGATCCAAAATGAGAATAGGCTTGAAATATGAATGAGATGTAATTTTTCAAGCTTCAATTATCATTCCAATAGCCTTAACTATGGGAATACACTATAGAATTAGCCATGGAAAAATGCATTAGCAGGAATCTTGAAGTCATAAAATAAGAGATAAATATAAGCACTTCGTAGTAGCTCAGTGGTCTAGTCCCTGGTTTTTGAATCCATGCTACTTGATTATATCTCTACCTCTCAAAAAAAGGCTTTTCATCCTGCAAATTCATTATTACGCATTTCTTATGACAATTTAAGAATTTATAGTTGGTCCTCCATATATTTACCACTCATTATGTCCGAGGTAGAACACTACTCTCCACAACCACTGCGAGATGCTGTAAACTGGATAACCAGTGATGGCAAAAGGGGATGGACCTTTACCAGCCGGGTTGTACGTTATTCTTTTTCTTCATACTATCTATGACTGACTCGATCATGATGGCCAGAATGAGGGATGTCCTTGCGGGCGGTCCCGGCTTTACTGTCCGGCATGACTGGGATGATGTTGCCCGTAGATAGCATGTCAATGCCATGCGTTGAGATAACTTTGGGGTTGACAGCAGGCTATACAGCTGGGACTAAAACCCCCGGTTCAGCACAGAGCAGGCGATTCAGCGATACTATACGCTGGTAAACCATATTAACAAGCATAGAGACACGAGCGCTACCCAGTGATCTATGAATCTAAATATTTGAACTAACTTACCTGCCAATCTTACTATATTCTATTATATTATAGACTATATTTATCATAAAAGTATTCTAGTTAGTTTAATATAATCCTATTATTAGCTCTATACCCCACCTCTCATGGACAGTTTCCTTTATGTTATATTTTGTCCCAGCCACTGTTCCCCTGTTGAAGGACCCTTTTAAAATCACAACTTTCTAAGCACATCCATTCACCATAAAGAACCTATTCCCTGAAGACGAAAGGGAGCTACCGCTTGCAGAGGAAATCCTAGAGGTGAAGCCAGATGGAATGGAGAACAATGAGGCTACAGCCTTCGCCGACTTTATGAGCCTTATTTTTCGTTTCGAGCCGTCTGAGCGGAGCTCTACACAGGAGCTTCTTCAACATCGATGGGTTACCGACTGGAAGAATGACTAAGAGCTAGTATATGTATATGGCTTGAAAGAGACCAGTCTATGTTCATTACCTTCTTCTGTTTCATTGAACAAGACTTTTTGCTATAACTTTTTCAATAGATACATGAGACTATGAGGAACCTATTCTCTATAGATACACTTCTTCTCTTTCCTATACAATATTGATTCAAATGCTTAATCAAGCAGTACTATTATATTAGTACCACACAGTTGCAAATACCCTTTTCATCACACTGTACTCAACATAAAAAGGCGGGATAAACCTTTCCACCATGCGGTCCCATGAAGCTCTCCAGGCTGCATTAAACATGGCCCGGTAGAACTCCCAATACTCGGGCCAAAACCCAGCCAGACCCCAGTCCAAGAGAACAAGCGTGCCATCAGGCCGAACAATGATATTCCCCGGATGCATATCTGCGTGTGTGAACACAATCTTGTGGTTTTGGAGGCCCCGGACGGTTTGGTACAGCGTGTACTCGGCGTTGAAAAAGAGCGATTCAGCGTCATGTTCACGCTCCAGCAGTGCCGGGGGCAGTCGATCTCGCAAGGCTTGAATGATCCCTTCGTTGAAGCCCTCTTCGGATGGGTATGGGCCGTAGCTGTACCGAGTATAGTCGCCGTATCCGGCCTCAAAGATGCCATCTCGACAGGGCGATCCGTCAAGCGTCCCGATGAAATCGCCTGGAATCTCCCGCATCTGGTTCACGTAGTCCCGTAGACTCTCCAGGATGCGATTGTGCTCCGTTGTCGACACACGGTCCCAGTATTGCGCGAGTGGCTCGCCCGCTTCATATGTCATGACAATGTGTCCCACCCCGTCAAGAATGTATGCACTGAGAAGTCGAGGCACTGCAATGGTCGTACGGGTAGATGCCATATGCATCGCCTCAGCTTCACCAAGACCAACACCGTGCCCGAATTTCACGACTGTGTCTGAATCTGCAAAGACAACTCGCGCGCCCATCTTGTCGGGACAAAGAGGTTGTGCCGTTTCCAGGTCGTCGGGATCGAGTATGATGGATGGAGGCCCGATGGTTTCCGAGTAGATCAAGCGCAGTTTTGGCTCCTCTGTTTCCACGACTTTGGGACAGTTGATAGCGGGCGTTGTGGTTTCTTTTTCGACTTCAGGCTTCTCAATGTCGGTACTCGCTGCCGTACTGATATCTGGCTTGTTTCCTTTCACGTTCTTTGCCAGGCAGTCATGAAGCTTCAACGATTCGCCTGTACCGCCATATCGAGGTGGAAGTTGTGAGCCAAGGTATTGGCCAAGGTCTACTGGATTCTTCAACAGCACCGTATCCCTCAATAGAGCTTCACTGATATCCATATATGCGAGGTATTCGCCACAAGGGTTGATAATGTATGCCTTTGCCAGAATATTGGGATAGTGATTTCGAATCAACCTCACCAAGTCTTCGAGTGCCTTGCGGAGCATCCCCTGGAAGGATTGTGGTTTTTTCCTGGTATTAGGGAAAGAATGCCTCTTGAATTCAATCACACAGCAAGCCGGACGGCCATGTAGATCCTGCATCAGGAGCGTAGAGAGCTTTTCCATGACAGCAAGACCCAGGTTCACCAATCCTCTCGATGTCGCCAGGCTTTCATGTATTGGCAAGTATCCCTTCATAGTCATCTCGTCTAAGCTGACCCACAGCACGTATTGCCCATCATTGAAAGTGATATGGCACAGGTCCAATTCTGGAAGGATAGCTTTTGCTTCAGGAAGAACAGCACTCGGCTTAGAGAAGCATCGCCACTCTAGAGTTCTCTCGAGTGAGACCCTTGCCCTGGAGACCTGAAGGGCAGGGATTGCCGAATGGCTTTTGAGGAACTATTGATGATTAGCGATGAATTGCATTTATCCTCATAGTATACGACCTTTTCTAAAATGATCTTCACTGTCGGCCACTCCGCGTGCTTTAAATCCACGCCCCAAATATCAGTATGACGAGACTTTATCAAAATAGACGGCAGAGCATCTCTAAAACAACCAACTATAGAATCCGACTTCTCAACTGAAACAGACATTTCAATAAATAGAGGACGGAGCACTGTCAGAACCGTTGTCTCGATGTTCAGGCAGTGCGGGGCAAGTAGGAGTTGAATAGAGAGCCCAACAGGCAACAATCAAACTATGGGGGTTAGCGGCGTGATTTGGTATCATATATTATAATACATTCTCTTAAAATACTGCATTCAGAGTTTCTAATCGACAAATTAAAAGCTCAACCTTAACCCTAACCCTAACTCCAACCCTAACCTGCAACCAATCCACCAGCTTTCCTAGAGTTATAGGGCTCTTTTCTCTACCTAGGCAGGACAGTGTTTAGAGTAGCAAGGATAAAGGTTACATATAAAAGAGAAAAATGTCGAAGAAGTCGAAGACTCGATCTGAAATGCTAGCCGATCAGAGTAACCAGTCGGCCGGATCATGACAAGAAGTCTGGCATGCTGTCATCGTCTTTCAGGAAATCAAGAGCGGAAGTCGTAGATGATATTTCCGGTGGTGGTATTATAGTTATATTATTTGTGAATATATAAAGAAATACAGAGATATAGAGATTCATCTAAGGTAGTACATCTGGATGCCTAAACACTGGCTAAGAAATATCAATAAGGAACCATAGGAGAAAAGAAATACTCTCTTCAATCTAGACGGTCTATCATATATGTACGGACACATATATAAATGCTTGTCAAACAATGGCAGAAGTATGGTTTGAGGCCAATTGGAAGGGTGGATTTGATTCAATGGGACTTGGAATGTCCGCAGTATAGACTGCTGCAGTCGATCTGCTCTCGTCCAGCGAGGGTTGCCCGTCTGGCATTGCCGGCCACCGCGGCTGCTGGAACGATTCGCTCATCGCCACAGGCTGTGCGCTGCGTCCGAACCAGGGGAAATGGCTTATGGTGATGATTTTCTGTCCAAAGGAGATGGTGAGAGACCGCATGCAGGGAAGAGAGGCAGCCACGACAACCAGGCAGCACTCGACGAGCGTCCAGCGGACAAGAGGGACCAGGTTTGGGACTGAACTGCGGCTGTCGTACACGCGGTTGAGCTCGACTGTGCGTGCAATGGATGCGCCCATCGCGCTGCAAAAGACGTCGAGTCAGAAACGCCATCGCCACAGAAAAGCGAGAAACTCACAAGATGCCCAAGCTCAGCAGGACAATCAGGCTGATCTTCGTCCGCAGGCGAAGATGGATGTGCCAGATTTTCCAGATGGGAAAGACAGCAAGATACATGTCGGTGAAGCTGTTGAATGCTAGGACTATTAGACAAACCGGCGATCGAGCAAGAGGATGTCTTGTCTTACTGGTTTGTGCCGTCCCCCAATCCTGTTGTATATGAGCCGGCAGACAGCCGTGTGCTTCCGCCGAATCCCAGACGCCCTGTATGTTGGGACACTGGGCGAGGATCAGGATGACAGAAATGGAATTCACCAGGAGTTGCAGCACGGCAAACGTCCAGTACACGATTCGGCTGCGCCGGCTAAACACAATCCCCAGCATGTACAGGATGAACGACACCCGGGCCAGCGCCGTGGCGGGGATACAAAACACCTGGAACAACGTAAAGTACATCTGGGCCTGCACAGACGTTGCACTTGGAACGGACAGGCCGAATCCATAGTGGACGGCTACCGTCACCATGGCAGCCGACGCGACCAGCAGAATCTAGCCTGGGTTAAACATGAAGAAAGTACGTTTGATGAATGAAAGAGAAGCTCACCACTGCAGCAGCCATGACATAGTCGTCGCTTCGGATCTTGTGGATGCGGTACTTGGCGATGATCCGCAGCCCAAACACCAGCAGGCTGATTCCAACTGCAGCCCATGAGCCGTGAAGCAACGCAGCTTGACTGCCAGTAGTCGGCATGTCTTCTACATTAGTGAAGTGGAGGAAGATGGGCGATGGCAGAGGCTTGTCAGACACATTGCTGTCGTTGTCGCCGTCGCTGTCGTTGTCGTTGTCGTTGATGTTGCAGCAGGTGACATTCCAAGATCGACGACTCGACCGGATGTAGATGATGATGTCATGTGACTCAGCCGAGTCAGTTAAAAATAAAAATAACCCAAGTTTACTGTGAAGTTTATATAGACCCTACTAAGTTCTCTAGCCTATAACTAATGTAAACCATATACAAACTGTGCACACGGGCGAGCTGCGCAGGCTTGTATACCATATAAAATATCAATATTATAACCCTTAATATCACCCTATATATTATATTATATATTCTAGAAATCTCTATATAACTAATAGCTATCCAAACACTATTATATTATAATATATTAGTTAATATTCTTCATGAAAGTTGCTGGATATTAAAGGTGGTAATATATTTATTTTATATGGGCCTGCGCAGTTCATACATGGTTTACATTATAATTCAAATGGCCAAGTCCAGTCTTTAATTTTGATCTGTAGTAGTATCAGAACCAAAATAAATATATAATTAGTTAGACATTGATAATAGTAAAGCTTAGGTATGATAGCAAATCATAGAGAAGGTTTCCTAGGAGGAAGTCCTAGCTAGACTCCGTCGTCGAGTACAACGATCGCCCACAGCAAGTTTGAAATGAGTCATTTTGTAATTCTGGGTAGGTATGATTGTTATTACCAGCGCATACCAGGAGCATTCTCAGTAAATCAGGGTGATACTCACCTTGAAGGATCCCGACAGAGCCTCGATTTGGGACTTTGAACCCAGGTTGATATTTTCCCTGTCTTTCATTGGCCGACCTACCCAATCCAGCATCTTGTTTCTCAGAAAAGGGCGTATGGCATGGATCCCTTCCTGCCTCATGTTGACAATGAATCCTCGCAGTTGCCGACGATGGAGGTTGATTGTCTGTTGTCGGCCAGGCACACGATAGCCAACGAGGGTGTTTGGTGGTGTTTTGGGCCCAATATCCTTGTGGACCAGTTCAAAGCCGGCAATGTAGGTTGTGTCCGCCTCTGGGAGTATGGAGACTATAATCTTGACAACTGAACTGGAAAAGCGGACCTCTTGCGTGAAATGAGGATCATAATAATGCCATGTGGGTATACTCATCCCATATCTAGGCGTCTGCTCCCACTTAATCTTCTTCTTCGGGAGCATTCTTTTGCTGACCTTTGGCGCTCTTGTCATTGAATGTCTGTCTCGAATCCATGTGTTGACTATCCAATGTCTTCGTATCAGCCTCCAAGGAGCTTGATGATCATCAACATTATTTGTGCAGTGATATATTAGTCTCCAATCTGTGTGGCGATGATGTTCTAGTTGGCTATTAGCAAGATAGGCAAAAAAGCCACGCTCCTGGTCAATTAGAAATCTGGTCCGCCAAAAGGCATCCATTTCGAAAACGACAGCCATAGCCCTGGAACAAGAGCGGAGTGTAAGATAGTCTGTCGTTGATAGATAGACTGCAATTTCAACTCGTAGCTCCAAGGGCAAGCGGGAAAAACAATCATCTGGGGACAGTGTTTTCATATAGCCAGGGGCTGCTTGGCTTGGTGTTGGGAAGGGCTTATTGATCCCTGGGAGTTCAATGACGCTAGGGAACCGGTCAAGATTGAGATTTACTGGGCTGATATACCACTCATCTAGTTGAACCCGACATTAACACACGGTGGTTTCTCAATGGCCACAGGGGAGGGAACCAACCAATATATCTCAAAGAGAAAGGGATCTCCTTGAAAACCTTGAAAATCTTGTCAGGTCAGGGCTCTTCAGGGCTGAAGTGTTTAAGAAGACGACTCCAGCATAATGTGTGAATAACGTATGCAGTTGGTGGCCTCTGCCTGGCCTGCTGAAGCCATCTGTATGTATTTTGTGTACGTGGATAGGCATTTGTGGCGACGATATCGGATAGGTTAGCACCTCTGGGGGTCCTATATACTGATCTTCTGTCACTTATAGGCAATTTTAACTGTGGTCAATGGAAAGCTTACTTGCTCGGTACTCCGCCAGCCAAGGTTGCTCAGCAATAATATAGTATCCACAGGAGATACACCGGGCGCTCCCCATCTTGAATGATGAATAAGAAGAACCCAGGATGGGAAGTGCAATCATTATATCAACAAGTCACCGGCTCACAATTACATAATTTCAACTTTCGGCTTAGTCGCCTTTCATCCCATGTCACCTTGATCTGTTTCCATAGGAGAGGAGAAACGGAATCTGTCAGTACCTGGCTAAGCTTCAAAGACCATATACCTTTTCATCTCCATAGTATGATCAGACAAAATAATAGCCTTTAGGTCAGGTTCTGTTGGTGAAGAATTACAGAGACAGTGTGCACAAGGAACTTTACTAAGAGAGAGCATATTAATCATCCTAAATAAACTATAGAAAGGTCCTTGATATTCAAAACCTCAAATCACCAGGTGGAAGATTTTATTGTGTATCACTATAGATGAGTCAGGCAGAATGTCGCCGTATAAGGAAGGGGTCTCTTTTGGCTAACTATATCAAGCAGCATGACAAATCATCAGGGTCCTCTATATCAGACCTCTGTACGGAGTACAGAATACGGAGTACAGAATACGGAGTACGGAGTAACTCGGCATTGATCGACGATGATAACTGCCCTACAACTATCTATGCAGTCCAGAGCGAGCAATGCCGAGCCTCGTGGCGTACTTGCATCGTCTATACCCTGCCTGCAAAAAGCAAAAGAACTCTGCAGATGTCTGCATCCTTTGATGATCGCCCTTTTGATTTTCCTTTCGCTTCACCGCAAGTGTCGATCAAGACGTACGAGGGAAGCGGTGAAACCTGGATATAGTTATATCTAGAACGGCCTACCAAGTTATTTGTCAACTTGTACAGATTATGTACTCTGTAGGGAGCAGATATATATAAGATGGTATATATGTGTTCATAAAATAATGTGCGAGATAATCTGCTGTATCACTCTGCCAGCTGGTCCCAGGTCCAATCCAGACAGTCATGTGACTCCATATACCCTAACCAGCAATTCCAAATAGGAAACCGTCTGCATATGACAGACGAAAAGATCCAAATAATTTATTTGATATCAAAGTAGATCGGCTGCAGCCATCAAATATTCCTTCTTCTTCCCGTTTACTGTCTACTGTCTACTGTCTACTGTCTACCTCAACATGCCCAACGTCGGCCGTCCCAGTCGCGATTGTCAGTCCTGTCGACAGCGACGCATCAAGGTTCTCTTCCTTTCCTTCATATCTACTGATACAGGGCACGTCTAATGTCTGATTCAGTGCGATCTACTAAGGCCACATTGCGGCCAGTGTCTGCGTAAAGGACGCCTCTGTCCAGGATATCGCGATGAGCTGCTGGCGATGCACTTCCGCCTGGACATCACAGTCTCTACTACATCACAAAGACATAGAAACAGGTATGAGTCTATTCTTCTGACGCTTTATTATCAATCCACTGACCTAATGGCCTCCTCCCTAGACCCGAACGTCCCCTCCCCGACCCATACGTATACGGCGACGCCAACATCGTCGATCACTGTAATCTTTCCCTTCTTCTCACTCTCAAGACAGTCTAACAGACCTAGTGATAAGACAGGTTCTTCCTGCTATCCGCATGGCGCCTCACTGGATCCGAGAATGCTGTCTGGCGTTTGTCAGCGCCTCGCCTAGCCCGCTGGTCCTACATTCAATCCATTATGCCACTGCTTCTCATTACCGCAAGTGCCGCCAGCAGCAATCCCCCAGCATTGAAGAGTTGCATCACCGAGGCCATGTGCTGCACCGCATGCGTGAGGCCTTTAACCTGTCTGACATGCGGCCGATCTTTGATGAGGTTCTGCTTGCTGCCTTTGTACTGGCCGTCCATGACGCCCATAGCGGCTTCCAAACCCGCGATCCGAGCCCTTTCAAGCCGTTATTCCCTTCGCTGCAGGCACTGGATTTACATGGCGGCCAGTCGTATCATCCGCAACACTGGACGGCAGTCGAGCATCTCCTGGCCCGCCGGGGCTCCTTTACCCATATCAAGATATTTGCCCTGCCATGGTGGCTGTCATAGTGAGTTGCAGTGGCTTTTCAAATACACCTTCTAATTGCATTATCATTTATTCTGATTCCCTGACTGACCTTCACTCATTGCTAGTGTCTATCTTAAACGGGCTGTTGCTACATGCACACCACCCCTTCTCCCCCTACTCACCTCCGAGGGAGAACTGTTGGATGACATTTCACCCGCGGCGATGCTGGGCAAGATTCCTCTTCAAATCAGCGGCTTCCACTGTCTGACAGATGTATCTATTCCCCCCGCGCGGATCCGCCCGTTATGCCAGTTGACAGAGCTGGCAGACGCCATGGCCCAGATCACAACCCCCCGGTCGGCAGGGATGATGGACCGTCTGGGCGATGCCCGCAATGTCGTCCAGCACGGCCTGTTGAGCATGCCAAAGGGACAGCACCAGACGGAAGCCTCATCTCTACGCGACTCCCCCCCGACCCTTCCTCCAGGCCACGCCTGTCATGTCTACGACGCATGCCGACTGGCAGCCCTCCTCTTCAGCACGCACGTTACCTTTCCGTATCCCCAAACCTGTGGCATTCGGGCGATGCTTGTTCCGCAGCTGTTATCTGCTCTGATGCAATTGGAAAACGACTGTTTTTATTCCTCGCCGAACATCATGCGTGCTCTGCTCTGGTGCGCAACTGTAGGCGGGGTTACTGCTGCCACCACCCGCAGCTGGTTCATCACTTATCTCGCTCGGCTCTCGACTCTGCTCGACATCCAGTCCTACGATGAGGTCAACAGCGCCCTGCGGCCCTTTGCATGGATTGATGCGGCCTGTGATGATGCGGGCCAGCAGCTGTGGAGAGATGTTTCAGCCCACGTCCTTGTAGATGAATTCACTGGCTGAGGTCTAACCTTTATATTACTAGTATTCATTCTAATAAAGAGTATAAATATAAAGCTTACAGCTTAATCTATGCTGTTGGCAAAGGTCTTAAATAGATAATAATTAATATTTATGATAATCCTTTTATAATCCTGATAATACCTTCTAGCTATATCTTGAAATGACCTTTCATCATTTCTATTGTAGAGATATATTAATTATCATCTATTTAGTGACTATTCATATATCTTATTATAGGAGAGCTCTGTGACAGACCTTCAGCCATTTTTGTCGAATTTTTGCTCTCCAATTTTCTACTATGGCTATATACCTAGACCTTCTAGATCTCATTTGAGCTGAGGCTTCTGCTAGAGCCAGGTGTGCTTTCCCAGGTGGAATATTCACAATAGAGTGAATCACAGACCCTCTGCAGAAGGTCTAGGTTTTATATCTATAGTTGAAAGCCGAGAATCAGCTTCTGCATTCACTATTGCGACTGGCGCAAGAATCTCCTTGAATTCCGAATTTCAATAATATGATATCTATGGAGCCTTTTCATAGGAAACCTCGAAATTGGTTGTTGTATGGATTTCCGGCGTGTCAGGGCCGTCGAGGATCATCTCCTCGCTCGTGGCGTCCTCCCGGCCCTGAACTTTGGCCGAGGAGGTATATCTGAACCCGCTGGCCAGGCTCTGTAAGGCGTGGTTGTTGCCGGAGCGTTGTCCATACCCGGTCCCAGTCTGATACCTGTCTGTCGTCCTTTGGCGGGAACGGTCAAACACACTGGGAAAGAAACGGACGAGGTATTGTTTCAGCATGGGGAGGCAGGCGCAGATGATGCCCGTGTTGGCTTCGATGAGCGTCCAGACCGAGCGGGGGAGAAAGTCATCTAATGGGTTAGAATAGAGAAGGATGGAAGAGAAACAAGACGTACAGCTCTCATCGTAGGTTTGGGAAGAGGTCTGGATCACGGCAACGGTACGGATGATGCTTGCTGTACACACACTGAAGAGTGAGACGGCATTCCACATGGAAGACGCAAAAGGGGACGTACAAAGCTCCCAACGCAAAGACGAAGAGCAAGGCCAGCTTGTCTCTGGGTTTCAGCTGTAACTGCAACACCGGGTAGATGGGCAGGAAGAAGATGACCACGTCACCCAGAGTGTCGGTGGCGGCAAAGGTGTACCACCAGACGTTCTTGTTGATGCACGTCTTGTCCGTGATGGCTGCGTTCCACGAGGCCGCCATGGGGGAGCACTGGAAGAGGGTGACCATGATGGTGGCAAAGGTCCAGCACGCAATCACCGCGATCAACCCGAAGCAGACACGCTTGAAGGTCGGGGTGATGAAGATGCGCAGGTAGAGGCACACGATGGACATTTTGGTGAAGCCGAGCACCATTTTATAGGGAACTTGCGCGATATAGAACCACTTGGCTCGTTAGCAGGACCAATGCCACGGGATCCATCAAGACTCGATGCCGTACAAGGAATGCGTGGTATTTCTCTTCCGTCGTCAGACTATTCATCCGTTTTCCGTATCCATTTGCGACGGCTATTCTTGTTAGTGATCATCGTGAGGGGGGGGGAAGAAGCTACCTAGATCAATCGCGATGGTGAGAAAGATGGAGAATGTCTACAGGTTAGTTGAATCCTTGCAAGACATCCAAAAAAAAAAAAAAAAAA